AGAGATGGAGGGAGCCGTGGGCTTCTCCCTGGACCAGGGGAGAGACAGAAGGAGAGAGCAGGAGAGTGACGAGGTGCGACTGCTGCGTCTCCTGGAGCTGAAGGACAAGAGTTCCACCGACAAGTGGCTGTTTCCATCCAGACCCAGCGCTTTGCTGAAGAACGAAGGTAAAAGTTAGTTGTAAGCATTTGGTAGAACACATTACACTCCGACACAAAACACAGATTTTTCACCGTTTTTGTTGGATGTGTCATTATTGCTTATTAGAATGTTACCCGTTGCAGACAGTATCTTTTCCAATACAACATTTGGAAAGTTTAGATATGGAAATAGAACCCTAAACGAGACATTTTCCCTAAGTGCTATGCACAACCAATTACAGGTTTTGTTAAATGTGCGAAACCTGCATAATTTTAAACATTTACTTCAAGTACAATTACCTCTTTTACAGCCTGATTTTCCATTAGCCAAAATGTTTTATTTGAAATATGAACACTGGATTCTTATGTACACAACCAAGTTGACAACATTTTGGCCACCTTCCTCAAGGCATAATGGAAAGGAGTTGCATTAATTGGTTTACCAACTTGTTCATGTAAGACTTAGTTCGCGAAAAGAAAAACAAATTTGTTTGGAAGCCCTGCCCTGACATTCACACCACATGTAGAACTCTTCGCCGACCCAGGAAACTCCCGGCGGTTTCGGGAGAGGCGGAAGGACAAGCTGCGGTACCACACGGTCGCCGTCCCTCAGCAAGCAGAGTCTTCGACACCCTGAACATCCAGCTGCCGGAGGTGACTCTGGGGAACTCTGGGAACACAGCCTGTAGGGAGTACAGCACTGTACACATTACTGTGGGCACGGAGGCTCCCAGCACTGTTAGCACTGACAAGGGTAAGGGATCATTTACATTGTATTTAGGCAGAAAATGATGTACAATATGACTGATTGTCATGAAAGTGCTATTAGATGACAGGGCATGTTGACTTAGAGTTTAGAGGTTCTGGGTTCAAATCCCTAGCAGGCCCAGTGATGCTCACTCAATTTAGGTGAAAATGGCTTTGGCTTAGAGTAAGAATGTCTTTTAAGATGGGATCCCAAGCTGTAGGAGCCGCACCTCAAGTATGTTGGACATCCCTACAGAGTTAAAACCTACAGTCCTGTGTTATGCAGGTTGTACTTACTGTACAAAACTGGTTGGTGTGTTATGCCTAAAGACAGTTAAATGATTATGAGCAACAAACAAAGATGTCAAAATGCTGTACTTCAGTCTTATGGTATGACTATTGTAAATGTTTTGTAACATAAAAGACATTTTTTTTTACAAAAACCATCTGTTTCTCCTACTTGTTCCAGTTGCAAAGAGAGCCGTGTCCACAGGGCAAACTGCGCGTAGTGCGGCCAGCATCACCCTGCGGAAGTACAGCAGTGTCGGCTACAGCTACCAGAAAAACTCCCACACATCAGGGACGTCCAGCGGGCCTCGAGTCAACCGTACAGACGCCACAGAGGACCAGGCTGAGATTGGTATGTGGCAAGGCGTCTCAGCCAAACGGATTCTTAAACTTTTTTGAATCAGTAGTGTGCACGGATTTTTCCAAAAATATGGTGTGAACAATAGCCTACTGCTACCCACCCTTGTGTCGGGGACACAGTAGCATAATCCAATCCTTCATACTACTAGTATTACTACTACTACATGTAGTTACTAGTAAACCCTTTGAAAATTGGGTTTGTGTTGGTTTGCAGTATGGAAATGATTGGCACTATAGGAATAATGGTTGATAACAGTTGTTTCATGTATGCTTTGTTAGATTGAAAACATGTTCTCTGCTAGACTAAGTGCTCAAGTACAAAATCACAAGCATTTGTGGTTTTCTTGTTTTTTCTTCTGTAAACTTGTCTACAAGTTAGGGTTTTCTCTGTCAATTAGTGAACATGTTGCTCTAGCTGTTTTTAGGTCCATCTCAGTATCTACAGCATAACCCTTCTTCCCTACAAAGCTATTTTTACATTATGTACATTTTTGTAACCTTCTACCTGCTGCCTTGCCCATAACCAATAGAGAATTGTTAACCAAATAACTACATTTGTGTGCTAAAGGTTAATTACCTTCGCCAAGAAGGTTATGTTTTCAGTAGCGTTTGTCTGTGTGTGTGTTTGTGTGTGTATGTGTGGTTTAGCAAGATAACTCAAGAAGCAGTGGATGGATTGGAATGAAACTTGGTAGGTGGGTAGGTCTTCATGAGACCTAGAAATTATTAGATTTTTGGCCCCCTGGTGGCTTTCCTAGGTACTGCAGCAGAACTTCCAATTTTGATACCTTGTGATCTGGACATGCTAGGGTCATGAATTTTGGATGGCAGATAGCTCTTGGGATAGGGAAGAAGTGACATGAGTTTGGGTCCCCTAGCGGCTTGTTCTGGAACTACAGGAGCATTTATTAATCAGTGTTGTTGCTGTCCCAGTCCCAGACCAGGATGACATAGACAGCAGCAGCAGCAGCAGCAGTAGTTCCAGTAGCAGGGCCAGCACACCCAACCCTAACACCTCTCTGGAGGAGTACCCACTGGTGGACCTGACAGAAGCGCCCTCTAGCTCTGCCATGAGTTCTGCACGGCTGATGGCTCGTCTCAGGTGCAGAACTCCACTGTATGTTTTGAAGAGTTGATGCTTAGACAAGCAGTGTTTCATGATATAACAACTTTTACACATTGAAAATGAGTTGACTGTTGTATCATTTTGCACCCATAATTTCACAGACAGAACTTATCATTTTGTTTTTCTCCACCACATGTATTGGTTCTTTGACAATGAAAGAAATCAACATCATTGATAAATATTTAGCATTGTTGCAAAATTCTAAGACTTATTTTTATTTCATAATTGTGAATTTCTCACTGATTCTGTCTAGTATGCATTTTCCCACTTGGGCTCCCATAAGGCAATGAGCATGCATTATAGCAAGAAGTTGAAAGCAGGAAATGAGATGACCTTTTCTGGTACCTTTGACCTAACTTCCTTTCAATGTTCCCTAAAAGGCACACATAAACATACATGCTGAAAACAAGACTTCCATACATGGATGTACCGTTATAAAACAGACATGCCCCCTAGGAAGGTAATGTAAGCTTCCACACTACTAAGTTTAAGACTGGAGCAACTAAAGAAAGTTGTGTAACATTTTGTCTGTTGGTGTAGCTCCCTGTCGGAGTCTGACCAGAACCGGACTGAGCCGTGCACCTCTCCCAGACAGGCAGACGGGGGAGTCACTCCAGGGAAGGAAGGTGAGTGGGACGGAATATTTCCAACTCAGCTGAACCAGAGAGGACAAAACACTTGTCTCTGACAGCAGAACTTGCCAATGACATGTAACTTTATAGCATCCATGCCTTATGAATTCTTTGTCTTTCAATTTTCAACTTGCAATACTGTAAATCAAATAAAATGTTTGCCATTGTTGTATTTGTTTTTTTTTTTTATCATGATGAACTATTCCTGATCCGGGTTAAGGGACAAAAGTACAAGGTACTACTGTATTAGTACTATTACAGAATTGTGTCAACAGAGAACTTGAACCACTGACAAAACTTCTTTTCCCCTTCTATCAGAAAATGAACCCCCAGCAAAAAAATTTAAATTCAAATTTAAAAATTTATGGTTTGAATCATGTCTTTTAGAACTTTGTCTTTTAGGGTAAAAGTACTGAAACTCCTGTGCTTTCCTTTTCTTCATATAGGCAGTCTGAAGTGGACGTCTCAGCTCCTGTCAGAACTTGGGAAACCTGTTGGTGAGGACTCCAGTCCTGTGGGGGCCGGACCTGAACAGGGGGCAGGGGACCACTCTCACAGCAGGACTACACAACAGGTGGGTTTACTAAGCTTAAAACTGCATTATGTAACATTAGGACAGTAGAAAAGGTCAATTTTCTGTTCATTTCTAGACAATGTATCTGTATCGGTTTAGCCGGTATGACAGCCCTCCGGTGTAACACACCAGCTTCGCAGACACGCGGCGCGACGGCAGCTGGCTATATCACACCGAACGACTTGTTACACTCAGACTTTGCACATTCAATTGCAGGAATTGTTTAAAGCTTTCAAGGGATGTTGCCCTAACTGTGCTTGGTGGCAATGAGTTCCACTCTACGATAGTTCTTGGGAAAGACGAGTTTTTGAACACCTCAATTCTTGGTTGATAACTCTGATATTTGAAGGCATGACTGTTTCTTGTTCCAGTAAGTTGAATCAACCCTACTCCATTGCAAGTAAGTGCCATCCAGGAAGATGATGCCTTATAACTGTGTTTAAAAGCTGAAAACACAGCTGTCAGCTATGTTTGTTTACATTCTGGTGGCTGTAGTGCCACAGACTGAGAGTGGCTTGATTTACCATCAACCATAAATGTCAGAAATGTGAAATAAAGCTGACTAACTAACTACCTTCCTTAGGACCCAGCATGCTTCAGTACCAACAGCAGTGTGGAGCTGGAAGAGGGGCCTGATGGGATATCTATACACCAGAGCCCCCAGGGGGATCATGGGAACTACATACGGTCCAGGTCAACGGAGGTCATCACCCAGATAGCCAGTGGTAACGCATATTCTATCTTCTCTAATATAATCTTTTCATCTTCTTCATACTGACTTCTTTCCGTTCCAGTATCATCTTGCTAATAAGAAGTTTAATTGGAAGGTTTTCCCTTTTTTCATTGTGATATCCTTGATATCTGACAGTTAGGCCACACCAATTTAATTTCTTGGTTAACGGATTCGCCGCTTCATTTTGTTTCTGATTTGCAAATAAAAATAAAAATCCAGAATCAACTGCAAAATGCTCATATTTTGCCCTGAACAGTTGAAAACAGACCTTTTCATCCTAGGTGTTACAGTTATTCCATCTTTCAATGCAATGGTATCATTAAAAGTTCAAAATTCATTGTTTAAATTTTGAACCAGCCTGGTGTGTTGACTTCATGGCTCCTATCGTACCATTTTGGGCCATAATACGATGCCTAGGCCTGTTTTTATTTTTTTTGCCCGCCTGCTCCATTATTTTTCTAGAAAAATCCGTTAACAAAAAAATTAAATTGGTGTGGCCTTATGACTGTGTTGTTGAACATGCGTTGAACCTTGTTGTCTTGTGTTCTGCCACAGGTGGGAACAGTCCGTCCTCAGACTACCCAAGAGACTCTACAACAGACAGGTCAGTTTGCATTGCTTCTCACGATAGACATCCTCTTGTGCCAATCTTGCTGCTTGTATTCAATTGATGTGTTCCTTGGTTTTCACTGCACAAGTGCTGGCCAGTTGCTAGCAGCCAATCACGTTGCTGCCTATGGTCAAGTGGCGATGTGATTGGCTGGTAACTTTCCTACTAACAGAAGGGGAGGCATCTGATTGGCTTACAGCTGATCAGTGCTATCTTAGTGAGAAACATGGGATACAGACTAGTGCACCAGGGTTGTTGTTTGAGCCATGTAAAAGTAGTGGACCCAGCAAAATAGGCTGACTAAAGAGCCTTCTAAAAAAAGTTCTCATGCAAATTGTGCAATGAAGAACATTCAGAGATTTTGAAAAAGGATGAACTGTTCTAATTTCTTTCTGCTGTTTATTTTTCTGCCAGATCCTATGACACAGAGTCTGCTGTTTAACAAGCCGAATGCTGCAAGCCTTAACCTCTTCTTGGGGATCTTCTATCACAACATTTGTTACCACTTTGACAGAATCTTTATGTTGTCAGTAGAAAATCACAGTGAACATCTAAACACAAATGTAGAGTCTTTATGTCCGTATACTATACGACTACAAGCTCACCACCATAATGCAGTAGTACATGAATGTACGTAAACTGTGCTAAGTTAGATAGGTGGGAAGTTTGACAGCCAAACCTTGAGCTCACTGTAAAGAAAGAGACATATTATGTAGAAATGGATTGTTAGTTGCACCACGTCAAGGCCTTTTCCTCCTATAGTGTTTACACACGTTTAACGTTTTATTATACTGTGTATGGAATTGTACAGATCTCAATGTGTCATTGGCAAGCAAGGAAACCTGACACTGCTCTATGTGCAAATTGGCATTTTGTTGTAACAACTGCCTTGTAAAGATGTGATGAAAAGCAAGAAAAACGGGTTTTTAAAGTCCACTGTTTTCTATAGATGTCAGAAATACAGTAGTAACTGATACTCGAAGTTATGCTTGCTCGAAAAAATGAAGATCTCACTGCCATTCTTAGATTAAGGATCTACATGTATGTAAGATTTCCACCTTTTGGCCACTCAAACCAAAGTTATGTTACTGCACTGTTCAGCAAAATTCAAATGTATCTGTATTCTTACTTCAGTCATGCTGTTTTTAACTGGCTAAGAATACGTTATGTACTATGTAAGATTGTACGTGTTGCCTTGTAACTTGAATATGTTAAATAAAGTATGTTGCACTTATGTGGAGTTTCTCCTCTCACAAGTTTCAGAAGACCATAGCTTTATATTATGAAAAACACTTCATGGGTACTAGGTTACAAGGTGTGGCATTTTTACCTCCATCTGGGACTTAGTTTTATAACCATGAGATTTATAACCTTCTTAATTGTGAAATTCTTCTGTTCGGAAGTTCTTCTGTGAACGTGACCTTTGATACACAATGTATGTGTAAATCAGTAGTTAGCGAGACTAAATATAGCCAGTGAGTAGCAGTTTTCTTTGTTTCGCATAACCGGTAGACCGCCCTTAGGCGTAACACACCAGTTTTGTACATGTAAGTACAAGCTGCCCTAAGACCGGACTGTAAGGTTTGAACCACTCACACCGGGAAGGTCACGGTTGGCATCAGAACTGAGGTAAGAAGTTCAGATAATGATAGAGGTCAACCTTGACCTTTGGTCACTGTGGCGTGACGCTTGTCTATGTGACCAGGCACATAGCCTGCAGCGTAAAATACAGTTCTTAACCTGGTGGTTGGGGGCAGGCTGTCTTCCGGGCTCTAATAGTTTTCCCCCGCCCAGTACAACAGACCGCCAGGTAGGACCTTTGCTAATAGAGTTTGGCACGGCGGGAGTTGATTTGCCTCACCATGGGGTGGGCCTGATCAAACTCCCGCCGTGAAAAAAAATTAGCCGGGGAACCTAGCTCAGGCAGGCGAGGAAGAGCTTCAGCAGCCTTGAAGAAAACCCGCCCCGCCAGTGTCCGCGGTAGACTGGATACCAGATCAGTTTTCGGTCTTGTTTCAGCATGGCGCCCCCTCAAGATGTCCCTCAACAGCGCTCCCAGTCCGACCCACCTCCCTACGTGGAGTACCAGGGAATATTGTATCCATGTGTGGTTCCAAAGGAAAGCCTGGAAGCCATGAAGACCTTCGAGATACGTGACGGTGATGTGGTGATTGTAAGCTACCCCAAAAGCGGTAGGTGTCGCTGTAGAATGGCTGTACATTCATGAGATTCACCAAAAACATAGTGTTTAGTATTTTAGATTGCCAGATTTAAAGTTTCCAGTTAAAATGTCACTTGCCTCTACTGTAACTTCTAAGCCACGTAAAGCAAGTTTCATGTATGCATGATTTTTCTCGAAATTAACATGCTTCCTGAAACAATATGGCACCTTAGACAGTATAATGACAACAAAAAATGGCAGTGGCCCGCCAAATGAACTTTTGAACGGTTCCGTTGAGAAGTGCATTTAACCTGTCTTCTTAAAATCATTTTAAAGTAATACTGAAGTTTAAGTTTTTTAAATACAATTTTAGGCGTCTGTTTTGAGTGTTCAAACAGTGTATTGATGAATTCAAATAGCACTGTGATTAGTCAACAAACATTTCACTCGTAAGTGTCAGAAACATCATCAACTGTATATATTTTCTACAAGGTTTCAACTGGATGTACGAAATTGTGCATAAAATTCTTGGTGGGAAGAAGGAAAACTCATCGCCAATAGGACCTGAGTATTGGCCTCCGGGACAACATGAACCCTACTACATCCAGCTGCGGAACAGCCCACCTCCTCGGCTGATGGGTTCCCATCTACCAATCCAAATGGCTCCTCCAGGCTTGGCGGCTCCAAAAACCAAGGTTTAGTTCGGTCTAGATATTGTGTTACCTCAAACATTCTTCATTCGTTATGCATTACACTTGTTACTTTCGGGACGGAAGTATTTTGGGGTGGCACTGGTTCATGCTGGATTTGTATGTTTGGATTCCGAAGAAAGTCCTCGGGAGGGGAGACTGAGCTAAAATATGTTTTATAAAAATATGTGACCATGACATATCAGACAAAAGATTCAACAGTATTGAAAATATTGCAAAAAGAATAGGTTGTCCCCACATGTGCGTATGGTGCTGTAAAATGAAAAGTAAACGTCAAAAGAATTATTGATCTTTAACGATAATATTATCTTCTGATAGGTGAAAGTTATTGTCGTCATGCGGAACCCTAAGGATGTTTGCGTGTCGTCCTACTACTTCCGGCAGAAGAGTTGGAATGCAAAGCGTCCAGAATCTTGGGAACAACACTGCAAGGATTACTTGGATGGAAAAAGTGAGTTTTTGATTGAGCGGTGTTATACATGTATTATACTCCAAAAGTTAAACACGTGCTGTAGTGCAGTTTCACTCTTGCACATTAGAAAGTAAGTCATTTCAGACTTCGATCATTAGTTGTTTCCATCGGCTAGGAAGACAAGTCGGACTTTGCAAGACTCCGATCGGGATACTTGTAATGTGTTAGAGCAGTTTCCCATTTATAAATCCTAACTTTCAAGTCAATCCATTGATGTAAAGCAACAAAGTTAAAACGTTCTGACTGTCTTATAAAGGAATATCTTACTCACCCCCATGAAACTCCTTCCTCTTCGCCCCCGCCGTTCTGCTTCGCCCCCGCCCCGTTCTGCTTCGCCCCCGCAAAAAATCTGCTTCGCCCCCGTCGTTCCTCTACGCCCCCGGCGCAATTCTGCTTTGCCCCCGTCCTTCTGCTTAGCCCCCAATGGCGGCACAGCTCACAGTCGACACGAAAATCGTCTGCAAAATAACAATAAAGGCTGTGCCGCCAAATTTAAAGTAGCCCATGCTCCGGCAAACATTCTGGACCACCTTTCTGCCAAGTGGCGTTGCACAAATCCTTCCCATTCAAAAGTTTACCCCTACCTCACGGCCCGTCAGTCTTGCCATGAAAAGTCTTGGAACATATGAGGCAGACGCAGGTGTTGCTGTGTGCTGTGACGGTAGTGGTGTCTCTTGTATGACGACTTGGAGGTAAAGTCCTTTCCACAGACATCACACAGGAAGGTTTGTTGTGCTGAAAGGTAAGAAGCAGGCTATCAGTTATGATTGTGTACCACTCTGATGTAACAGATGGGAGACAGAACACTCAAGGGGCTGGTGACAGGATTAACAAAGATCTTTTCAATAGAGACCACTGACGGGCCGTGAGGTAGGGGTAAACTTTTGAATGGGAAGGATTTGTGCAACGCCACTTGGCAGAAAGGTGGTCCAGAATGTTTGCCGGAGCATGGGCTACTTTAAATTTGGCGGCACAGCCTTTATTGTTATTTTGCAGACGATTTTCTTGTCGACTGTGAGCTGTGCCGCCATTGGGGGCTAAGCAGAAGGACGGGGGCAAAGCAGAATTGCGCCGGGGGCGTAGAGGAACGACGGGGGCGAAGCAGATTTTTTGCGGGGGCGAAGCAGAACGGGGCGGGGGCGAAGCAGAACGGCGGGGGCGAAGAGGAAGGAGTTTCATGTTACTATTTACACACTCTGCGGCAGTGCCGGTAGAATTACCAATGCTAGCATCCTAGAAGATCGGAGTCTCTACTATGACATATACTTGTCAATCCTTTTTTCATTATAGTGCCATTTGGTGACTACTTTGACCACGTGCTGGGTTGGTGGCAACTGAAAGATGACCCCCACTTCCTTTTTGTGAAGTACGAGGATATGAGAAAGGTAAAGGGAGTGTAGTATATACCGCCGTATTCATAGGATGCTGAGGGGTGGTTTTCATCATCATTCATCATCTGTCGACCCGGGGAGGGGGGGGGGTAAGCCGACTATACAGATACAGCCAGATTACTAAAGTATATTCATGGGAGAATCGAATGATCAAAAATTATATGGAATTTTTGTGGGATCGCGTGGTGTGTTTGGCTCAAACCGAAGAGGTCCCGAGTTCGAATCCTGCCTTGTCGCCGATTTTATTTGTGCACTTTCCTCACTCACTCAGGTCGAAATGAGTACCTAGCTTTGGCTAGGGACGTCCCTCGGATAGGACATTTAATGGAGGTCCCGTGTTCGAATTCGGGGAAAGAGAGCAGGGGCATGCCCCGGTGTGTGATTGTACAAATACTACTGTATGGCCATGGAGTTGGTGATTCACTTCAAGTCACCCGGACAGAGGCCTGGCGAACACCTGTTTCGTATCAGCCATATATCAGCCATATCTTAGGTGTGCTCCACAGAAGTACACAAAACATGGTAGACCATGTCCAGATGTATTTTGTTTACGCCTCATTTTGTTTACCTAATACCCACAATGCAGTCGTAATTGTGTGGCCACATACATGTGTTCTTGTTTGCAGGATTTTCGCTCGGCAGTGAAGACTGTAGCAGCTTTCTTAGAGAAAGAATTGACTGATGAGGCTCTGACCCGTGTGCTGACCAGTTGCAGTTTGAAGTCTATGAAAAAGAGATTGGCAGAGTCCGATGCGTGGAGAAGGGTTATTGTCAGGAAAGGTAAAATATTTATGTTTCTCTAAAAGTTCATCTGTGTTGGGTAGTAATCATGGTACATTCTTTGTGTTAATAAAGTTTAATATTGTACCATGATTCATGTTTCTGTTCTTTTCCTCCTTTGGCTTAATAATAGAATCTTGATCATGTCTAGTTTATACTAGTAATATTATCAGTTATAACCATATTTACCATCGTGTCAAAAATACACCCTTACTTTCCCACTATTCCTTACCATGAGAAAACAATTCTACAACTAAAATCAAGGAACCCACACATTATAAAGGGGGTAAATTCGTCTTCCACTGCCTTAAAAGAAGTTAAACCCAACAACATTAGAGTCGATTCCGCGTCACCGAGTGGGTTTTTTCTCCATGTTTCTAATACGTTTGAATTATTTAGAAGAAAAGAATACCCTAGTAACAAAAGTTCTAAATTTTTCAAAAATTTGAAAATGAAAATTTGAATATATTTGAATTCATTTATATTTTTCTGAAACATTTTGAAAGTGACTGTACAAAGATCTCTTTATTTAGAATAAATTTGAACTACCCATTTGTTTCTTTCACTATTCGAAATATTTAGAACTATTTCAAACAAATGAAAAATGGTAGATGTGGGTAATTGCCCCCATAAAAGTAGGTGCTAATCCTACTCTTCTGTATTCTTCTGTATATTTTTAGATTTCACTGCTGGACACTGGTGGCTCTTTTGTTGTAAGGCATCAATGCCTGACACCCAGGCAGTCTACCCTGTACTTCACAGGGATGTGTGAATTACTTCCTTCCCATCCCACTGACCTATTTACAAAATGTTAGAAATAATTCGAAATAATGGTAAAAAATGGTAGAGTGCTGTTAGAAATATTTAGAAACTATTGGAAATGTCATATTCCACATCAGGAATATTTCAAACGTTTTAGAAAACCAGGGAATTATTTAGAATATTGACAAGATGTTCAAAATATTTCCAAATTATGAAATTTCTTAGACAAACAATTACAAAGAATTCAAAACATTTCTAAATAATGACAATAACAACCCACTCGGTGACGCGGAATGGACTCTAGTACCACGTAGAAAATGTATGTTGTAGAATGTAGTATAATGTTAGGCGTTATACTGCGTTCCTTTTTCCTTACACGTTGTATGTACTTGTAATTAGCCCTCGGACATGTACTAGTATTTGCATTGCAAGTCATGTGTTTGCTAATAGTTTAAGATATAAAACTGTGTGTCGTGACAAACCTTATCTGTCTCCCAAGGTATCGTTGGAGACTGGAAGAATCACTTCTCGGCCGAGGAGAGTGAAAAGATTGACGAAAAGTACCGCAAACGGATGGCAGGTTCAGGGCTGGAGTTCGAGTTTGAGTAGCTGAATAAACAGCGCTAGCTTGAACATCCAAATAGAAAAATGGTAATAATAACAAGAGATCTGAGATCCAAACCTCCGGTACATGTATATGTCTAACGCATAACGTTAAAACGGCTTCTGACAATTTCAGACATCACATTAACAGCAATGTTACAAGTGACACTATTTGACAAAAAGAACCTTTATTAAAAAAAACGAAAACGGCTTGAACAATGTTAAAATGATTTTTTTTCAAATGCACCTATTACTACTTACCTCATACAAATGTAATTTTTAAAAAAATAAGATAGTATGTAGTAACTAACGGAACTAGCTCTCCTTCAATTGTGTACTTGATCTACTGGCTATATTATGTATGGAAAAACAACAGTAGAAAAGAGTATGCTTTGCTAAAATTAAATATTATGACATCTCTACAGTCTAACAGGTTAATCAATATAAAAAAATAAGCTAATATTGGACGGTAATCTACCTAAGAACAGAAAAAGTCGTGCTCTGTAACAAAAGAACTTATACGTTAGATAAGGCTGGACATACCTACAGTACTTAGCATCCACATTATCTTCTATATCAGGGCAATTTTAATGCTATAATGCCAGGCAGGGATGCTACAATGTACCACACATAATAATAATAATAAAAAAACAATTATTAAAACAGTTTCATCAATCACTCTTAGTCGTGATGATTTCTTGTAGCACATGAATTTCCAAACATATTTGTCAATCACGGAAATTATTTCAATTTTCCTGTATGGTGTCACATAGTCATCTTTTTCTATCATTTATATAATACGGACTTCTCACAAGTTTAGGTATTCTAAAATCTTCCACTTGAGAGTTTGTACTCCTCACACTGTAGTATCAATGCTAGTACTTTTGTCCCTACCTCACTGTACAAGCAAAGGGTTTCAAATCACCCAACTCACTAAACGTTCATCAAAACTGGTTCTGTACTCTTGAAACGTTTCTCACAAGTGAATCTGCATGTGATTCTTCAAACTACTCAGTCGACTAAACTGCATGCCTGCTGCACTCCTCACACCTGTAGGGTTTCTCCCGTGTGAGTCCGCATGTGTTTCTTCAGACTATCCAGTCGACTGAACTGCCTGCTGCACTCCTCACACCTGTAGGGTTTCTCCCCTGTGTGAGTTTGCATATGTCTCTTCAGATTATCCAGCTGACTGAACTGCCTGCTGCACTCCTCACACCTGTAAGGTTTCTCCCCTGTGTGAGTTTGCATGTGTTTCTTCAGATGACCCGGCTCACTGAACTGCCTGCTGCACTCCTCACACCTGTAGGGTTTCTCCCCAGTGTGTGTCCGCATGTGATTCTTCAGATGACCCAGCCGACTGAACTGCCTGCTGCACTCCTCACACTTGTAGGGCTTCTCGCCTGTATGAGTCCGCATGTGACTCTTCAGATTACCCAGTTCACTGAACTGCCTGCTGCACTCCTCACACTTGTAGGGCTTCTCCCCAGTGTGTCTCCGCATGTGACTCTTCAGATTACTCAGATGACTAAACTGCTTGCTGCACTCCTCACACCTGTAAGGTTTCTCCCCAGTGTGCATCCGCAAGTGAATCTTAAGATGACTTAGATAACTAAACTGCCTGCTGCACTCCTCACACCTGAATGATTTTTTGCCAGCTACCCTGTTGGCAAATCCCCCTTCTGATCCTCTTCTGATGTCATCAGATCCACTGATATTTGTTGCCATGATAACAAAAGCTGAATTCACCTCTGCAGTCCTGGACAATGAGATGAACTTTTAATTGAACAGATAGATGAACAGAGTTTCTGGCTTCGGTGCCATAAATCATGATTAGACATAGATAAATCATGTCCCAAAATCTGCACTGATTATGAACATTTCAAGTCAGCCTTCTGGCCACTTTTTATTATGGTCATGAGGTAAGAATCGGACACTTGATATCAGAAGCGTTTAATTATTAGAATAACATAAACTAGAGTTCCATAAGCTCATACCTTTGCCAAATGAACTGGTTATCTTTCCGACGGATGTTTTATAAATGTTTCCAAGACTCATCGATTATTATTATATACTAGTAAATTAAGTTTGATATCATATTGTTTACATTGATTGATTGATTGATTGATGTTTACATTCACATAACATTGAAATATCCCAATATTGCCACCCAATATTTTGTATATATATAAAGTTGACACTCTTTCATCATATATAGTATACCTGCAAGATGTCTTTCATCCAATGAATTCTGTAACTGCTACAAACTTGCAGGGGATCTGATGTTTGGTGAAGCTTCGCTGTTTCCCTTTCGGCAAGGTAGGCAGTACTGATGGATAAAATCCTGTGGAAAATGGAAAACATAAGAAAGCTTGCATTCACTGTAGTGGACAAAGTTAAATAGTAGTTACTGTACCACCCCCAACTCCCCACTCATTCAACAACACTACCCGAACAACAGTTAACGATACTCCCCCTTGACTCCGATCATGACAGAAACCAGATGTTTGGGCGGGAAGAATACTCGAGGCACATGAGGGGGTTTATGAGTGTATTTACGCACATCATTTTCCAATTTTAAAACCGAAATTCGCGTTTCTCTGCCTAAATTAACAGTTGAGTTTCCAAAAACAATCTCATTTCCTGTATGACATCCAAGAATCTCTGTTGTCTTCAAAATTTTAACGAGTAACCGTAACCCCCTCTAGACCCTCTGTTCGGCGTCAACAAAAACAAATCTCTGAAAACGGCACAACAAAACATGCCTTCAACTTTCAAAATGGATACGCGTGATGTTCCAGGTACACTCTCAAGTTGTTGCTGACAGAACTAATGTTTACAAACACAACGTCGTTGTTTTTAGAGCAAAAAAAATCTTGTCACACGTAGCACACACATGGCTTGAGGCAGAACGCAAAAATGTATCATTTTCCTGCCACAGCGATAACTGTAGAGTAGACAAGCTCTTCGTACGTACCTGAGTTGAATGGACGATATAATCTCGACGGATTAAACCGAAATAGTAACGTAGAAAGATGACCAGAAACCGGAGAAACCTCTGCCACCACGACACGTCTTGTGCACGGTACGGAAGGTTAGGGAATGAGCTCCGCGGAGCTGGAATTTTTAATGAGGCAAAGAGGAGGGAGTTTCTTGTTTCTCGTGACTCCGCGGAGTTTCGGACTTTCCGCGGAGTTTGCATTGCGACGGAAATTTCCCGTGTGGCAGAAAAGGTTCTCTTCCACACCTCTTTGTAGACTGAAAAATTGAAGAAATTCTTCAAAGGCGCCATGTATTCAATGGTATGCCACAGAAAATTATATTTCATCAGATTTGGAGGGGGTCTGCATTTTGCGGGGTAGCTAGGCCTTTTTTAGCCTGGTATCCAGCCTTGTTAGCTTTAGTCCGCTACCCAAGATCCGCTCCCCGCCGGATCTTGGGTAGCGGACTAAAGCTAACAAGGCTGGATACCAGGCTAGGCCTTTTTAGCCTTCCTAATCCGTAGGCAACCGATATAAAACTAACAAGCTAATATTGGAAGGTAATCCAATCAATATATATATATATTCCTGTACGATTTTGTCGTATGATTTTGCACAATATTTCCCCTAACCTCTGCTTGGAGAGAACCTATCATGTGACGTTGACCTGTGGCATGATGTTTCCCTACGTGGCGTGATTAGGCACACATGGTTATGTGAAGGTCAGTCAGGCCTCAACAACCCATGGCGTAAACAGCTTGGTATCTATCAGGTCAGTCATAAATAAATCTTCACATAAGTTTCAGAAGATCACAGCATTACATTTGGAATGTCAAGAAAAACACTTCATAAGTACTAGGTTACAAGGTGTGGCATTTTTACCTCCATCTGGGACTTAGTTTTATCAGTTCTGTGTGCTTAAGTGTGCGTGTGTTTGCTTGAGTGTCTGCAAATTAGGGCATGTCAGGGGATGTAATTTTAGCGTAGTGGTATTGTTTTGGCCGCCTGTCGATGGGCCCTCCTTCTGTGGTGCACTGCTTTTAAAAATTTGAGAAAAAGGGGTCATTTGAGGGATACCCAAAGGGAAAAAATGTTATTTCTAAGGTATGTACTTGATTGGTAATTTTCCGCATTTGATCTGGCATTCTTGAACAAAGAAATACAGTCACAATGCCCCTATGCTGTATGTGTAAGGGGGGAAATTTAGCGTAGGGGGTCAAAATTATAGCGTAGTGGGGGAAATTTAGCGTAGGGGGTCAAGATTTTAGTGTA